GCTCCCACCAGAAAGTAGAAGAAATTAGGTCTGCTATTTATCATTGACTTAATACCAGCTTACATTGATATTCCGTAACAGGTTCCTAATAGTGCTCACAGGGTGGTCTCTTTTTGTTCAAAAATATAGCCCGAATCTAAAAGCAAATACACTAAAGGCACAGCTGCTTTCAAGACATTGTGAATTAGTTGCGTGGGAGTCAGTGGGATTTTTTCTTCATCACTGACTACCCGCAAGCCGCAGCTGATGCTCATTCGCTGTCTCGATGCACTGACGCCTAGTAAACATAGACACTCGTCATGCCTTATCTAAAAGCGGTACTTTCTAACTTAAGCAACGGCTTAAGGTCCGAGCTAATAAAAATACACTATATAAGCTCATTTGTTAGGCGGATCGATACAAGCGAATTTTTCGCATACACCCGACTATGAACCCGTATGGTTCGCATGCAAATAGTCGATTCAGCAACGTTCTGATTGATGAAAGCACAGATGGCTATCTGTTTTCCAACATTTTGCGACGCCTTAGTCTTTTGTTCTATGGCAGTCTCTTAAAAAATGTATAGCATCTGCGAAACAGCAGCACAATTCCCTGGCAGCATTACCGCAGTGAAAGCAGCAGCAACCGTGTGTGTTCCCTTTAATTGGTGAAGTTTGCTAAGTGGCGACATAATGCACATGCGTATCAGGCCAAATCAATGGTTTCTCATCCAGTAGATTGAGTATATCGAATAATATTGATGAAGTCTACCATAAAAACTATGAACAACAAACTGATTGTTGATTAAAAATGCCTACGTAATGTAGCAGCGCTTTGTTTTAAACAAACTATTGTCAACAAGCAAGCTGCGATTCTAGAAAATCTATGACGCTCACAAACTCGTTTGCTTCCGTTCGTCAGCATAGTCTAACAACAGAATAATGGGTAGCAACCGAGTAGTGACCAACAAATACTGCAGCCTAGCATTTTTACACTTAGTCCATTTGGGAGACTTAATGCAGTGAACAATTTATAGCTTGTAGCAGTCTGAAGATTCCCCGGTTTGCCTGTGTAATATTCTAACTAAAAGCACTATTTTATTTTACACTTAGAGACTGGTGCGGAATTTTGTACTGCATGTGGAGTCCGATTGTTTGATACGACTGCCGCCATACTTCGTCACCTGTATGCCATGTTCCTGTTCCAGATCAGGCTCTCTCTACCTGATGAACCCACATAAGGGCAAACCGCGTCGTGAAGTACAATGATGGGGATAGAACAAAATCGAAACCTCCACCGATTGTAATATATATTTTAAATTCTTGACGATTTACCGCTCTATCCTGGTTTTAGCAAGTGCTCTCTTTTAAAAAGTGTTTACTGGCCAATGCTATAGACCTTTTTAGTAAATACTTTATTGGCAAGAATATGCGACAATACTTGCAATATGAACTGATGACTAACCGAGGTAAAAGTCGCAGAAATGTTGATATTCGAAAAAACTTCGAGTCAACTTTTTGCGTTTATTTACCGTTAGGAATAAGGCCATTTAAAATTTACTCCCAGGAAAACCTAATTACTGTCACATTGTGTCTGAAGAGTAAAATAGAATGGTTCAAACTTTAGACCACCAGTGATTGTAGCCCGTCAGCATGTCACTGTAGCGACACAACAAGTAAATTATCGTCGAGCGTAGCCTACATTGTGAGAGTCGTTTCCTCTTCTCTTTATCCTTGCATTTCATCTTCTATATTGTTGGAGTAGCCACCTATCGTGTGCCTTTTCGCCATTCAGCTAGGCACGTCGCGCTCAGTCCTCTATCGGCAGTTGCGACAGTACCGCCCAGCTAGCCACTAGATGTAACACAAGCACACCGTTCATCCAGCTCTCACACTTACCAGGTGGTTTTCTAACCGCCTACAAAGTATCTCTTTTGCCATTCAGTCCCCGCTCGGTCTAATACGACCCACGTACGCCCCTGACACATAGACCCTCGGGACGCTCCACTGGACGCATATTACAAGGATTCTCTTGGCTATCAGCCTAAGGGGCTTGGTCTACTGCTATTTCTAAGATGACGGACAATCTAATTTGGCGGAAGATTTATATGGCACAGCTCTCAACCCAGAACCGCGTTAAGACTCAGGACCAGTACAATGTTTTCTACTTTGTATTCACTACTGTAAAATGAAATTTAGTGTTGTAGCACACTTTAATATTGTATGAATGGATAAACAGATTTTAGTAACTCTGGTTGTATTCACACTAAACTAAGTTGATGAAATGAACAGACATCTAATCAGTAGTAAGTTGACAGAGAACCGTCAGAACTAGATTCGTCTATTTCACGAAGACTTTTGTCATCAATTGTTAAATACTAAGGAATTCAGTCATGTTGTTACTTTCTTGTCCTGATGAGGAGTTAGAAAATGTAAGCCGTTTACACGTCACATGCTATTATGACAGTCTGGGTGTGACTCTAATCACTGAATAACAGTCATTTCATGTCGTGCAGCGTCTATGATGGATGAAGTAGTTTGGTTAACTGATAAGTAGATCCTACATTTTCTGGGCTGCTTGATAATGTTGCCTACTTTTATTAAAATGTCATATTTTTAACCGTGCAAATAATTTGGCCTCACAGCTGTAGTTCAGAAGTGTAACACTGAGTCTATGGATAATTTACACTTTGATAAAACGCTATTAACAACTTTAAAAAACCTTAAAGGAATAAGTGTGTTTTATCTTCCGTGTACTGCAGAGCCTACCATAACATATTCTGGATTCAACAGAGGTTCAGACCTTAACATGAGCAAAGATCAGCGCATAATGTGATATTTTTGAAACTTGTTCCCTTGTGTTTCTGCTCCCATTAATTTAGAATGGCAAAAACACATCCCTGACAGTATAGTGTATGACCTAGTTCTAGCCGCGTCATCGCGGTGTACAAGGCGTTGGGGATGAATTGTGCTAGTTATCTGCATAAGCATTGCATTCGTTATGTTTTACCGCCTGCATTGTTTGTTTTAACATGACAGTGTATGGCGCAGTTTATTTGGAAAGTTGTAAACAACTGCCGTATGTCCACTAGTTCAACGCTGTGGTAGTTAGTAACGATCCATTGGTTTTCTGTCAACATGATAATAAACAGAATATAAAAATAAAGTGTCTACGGACGTAAGCTAAATGACTTCCGCTTTCTTGTCTACAAGTGCACATTTAGTTTAATATTAATGGATGGGCAATTATATCTGCAAAAGAGAGTTGATATTGCACTGAAACTGTACCGTATGTAGATGTTACGAATGTACACCGCATAGGTTGCGGTAAGTATCTCAAAATATTGCATGTATAACGATCCCTATGAACAGGCTGCTAACAACGCTACAAGGTGATGTAGAAATCTAGAGGCCTGGACTATGAGTCAGTCACTAATTTGAAATTCATAAAGCTGCACATCAGGCATAAATAAGCATAGTACAACTGCTCGTTGGAGCGCAGTGAGAGCTCCTTTTTGTGTCCCTGGCCACCCCAGTGAGGCACACTATGGGAGGAATTTGGGTCATTTAGAAACAGATTTTAGCGTAGCCTTAACATATGTCAGTAGGACACTTCACCTGGTTGCAAATGCAATTCAGGTCAATAGCAAATAGATATCTCTAATCTCGTAATACACCGCTAATTTTGTCAAGCTATATTAAAAATAGTTTTGAATGACAGTTTGTGACCAAAATATGTCTCACCGAGGCGGCCACTGGTACACCAATTTGCGATAGCGGCAAACTATCGGTCTCTCACAATGAAGAAATGCACGCTTTTATTTATAGATACTAGCATACTTGTTACAATGGAAAGCGTTTTGAGATACCACAATAGTTGCTGTTATACCAGATGTTTTCTTTTATTTTTGAGTTTGTAATCATGACTGTAGCCGTAACATAAAGACACAAAAAGTTCTTAACTGTCTGTTTACCTGGATCGACTGAGTACAGTAATTGTTTGAAATAATATTTGCTAAAAGAATTGCTCTTTCTGCCTAAAAGCTTTACGAAAGTAAAGGACTTAATCTTCCATAATACAACTGGTTGTTTGTTGCTTACAACCACCAAGATATAAAAAATATTTTGAAAACAATTGAAACATTTTGTGAATGTGCTTCTATATTATACTGACGATTTCTAGCTTGGTATAGAAATCTCAAGTATGCATGTGGTCTACTTTTATCCTAAAAGGGTAGGGCAAATTCTGTCATATTCTTCAAGCAGTCAGTCAGTATAACTGCAGCGCAATTTATAAGAATTTATTATTTTTCTCAATTTTTGCAACGATTTATTAACTCAGTTAAAGTTAATGATGTTAGTATTAACATAATAAATCGATTTTTAATTCAGGTATACTTGGTCATCTAAATTGTTATAATGTACGTTGTTTTAACGTCAAATAAGCAGAATATAGTTAGTAAGTTTTAAATAAGGGCCAATGATAGAAAACAACAAATCTGTCTATAATAACCAAATAGTACAATTCACTAATTATATCAATGATTTAATTATGTTTTCTTTGTTTTGCTGTATCGGTAAAGCATAATCGGCTATCACAATTAAGTGCATTACTATGCTACATATTTTTGTTGGCGTCATGTGTTACAAAACATGGAAAGCAAATAAGACGCATGTTAAAATTCATTTTATCCAAATCATAGGACATTAATAAAGTACATTGAAAATGGTAAATTCTCTGTTTAGTTATTGCTAGGATGTTATCTGTATATTGATTGAAGTGGAACATATATTGTTAACTAGCTTGTATGTATTAAATTAAATGGCAACTCAAAGTTATGCTGCTACGACACTGATAGGCAGCAGCATAAGCAGCAGCGTCAATATTACTAAAATTGTAAACATAATACTCATGCTGCTTGCTAAATAATGCAGTGTATTATGGTAAAGGTGACAACACAAATTCTGGTTACAATTTGTGTAGCTTACTTCTAATTCTTAGTTCTGGTCCGTGTTTCTTACATGTTGACGCCAGTGACATTGTTTGCTGTCCTACAAAAGGGCAATGTACACTGTCTTCCTTGTTAATGGACTTATTCTGATTAAGCATTTAACGTCTTATTAGGTATACGCTGCTGATTACTTTGCTTACATCTATAGCCAAACTGGTAAAAACTAACGCCGTTTAATAGAACAAAGCCATAGCCAAGGCACATTTTTGTAAACAGTCATTTTTACTGGAACCGTGTTTTGTAAATTTTCTGTATATTTTTGTACAGTCGTTAGTAACTATACAGGTAAACCAAACAAAATTTACCATTTATTTGCTTCTGTTTATAACTCGGTATCGTTAATTAATACTGCTCTAATAATTTTTGGCTCTATCAGATTTCTAATGCTGTGTGACTAAGAAGAAAACGTTCTCCTTGTCGACTTAAAGTATAATAAGTATGGTAGATATTCCTGTATACATGAAAATCAGCTTACATATATACTCCAAGTGAGGATGCACAGATATTAGCAACATATTCTTAATGTTGATTTGAAAATAGATGAATGGCACGTGTCACTTGTTTATGTCTCATCGCTTTTCTTGTCAGTAAATTGTTAAACTAAACATAAAACTTCTCTATTTGTTGTTTGATGTTAAAAGTTAACAAGGTCGGAATACGATAATGGTAGCACAGCGAATGAGTAAGTATTTTATAATTATTTTTAGCGTCCTTTACAATAAGCTGGTAACAATGTTTAGACCTTTAAGGTTGCTTGTAGAAGCTATATTTGGTGCTTTCTGTTGTCCTAGATACAAGTATTTATGGCTAGTCAGACAAAATGACAGCAAGGTTTAGTACGCAACATGCTGCTTCCTGAATCTTGTCGTCTGTGATGTTGAAGCTGACATACATAGGTATGCAACCTGCAGCAAAGTAGACACACTATATTTTAAAGATAACTGCAGTCAGATATCCTAACCCTCATAAGAAATGGGTTGTTTGCCGTTACATATATCTTCATCGTCAGAGCGCATTTAGGATTAACCAGCAACCAAGCAACCGCATCCAAAATATACACAAAGTACTAACCATAAATGTGATTATATGAAAATCCGCGTAGCTTATTTAAGAGCATATACTTGCTTAGTTGACCTATTGGCGATTAATTTGCACGCATAACAGCTGTCTGCGTGGTCGGTGACTAATAAATATCTATTGAAGTGACCGCTGAGTGGCCGTTGTATTTATAGCCGCCGCAGGAAGATATATTTCGAAAATATATGGTCATACAAGAAACGTTTCCTTGCAGCCCTATCATATATATTTTTACTTTGTTGCAAAGACCTTCGACAACAAGTGAAAATTTGTCCCCAAATTGTAGCTGATCAGTGACAAGCCTTACGACTAAACTGAAAATGGTTTGAATGACCGACACTTGTCCCAAACGTGTCCCACTTTAACATTTAGGAGCACAAAAACGGCTGTCTACAAATCCCTTATGAGAAATAAGAACACAGTTTTATATAAAAAAGCAAGCTTATAGGTAACGACCTCCGGTGTTAATGTTACATAAAAATATCTAATAAGTTATCTAAACAGAAATTTTATTTTATTTACCACTGAGTTTTTGTTACCGCAAGTGAGTAAAACGCGCTTTTCTCTATCAGCCGGTCATGCAGTACAATTTGCATCCTCACTTGCTTACTACGACATACATGATAATACCAAAACGTATACTAATTCATCAATTCATCTTTTAACTCTGTGATTTTTTAGTTATTGTGTTACCAAGTTTACGGTATTAGTCAATAACTTATAATGAGCTATAAGCTCAAATACTTCGGTTTTGCAAGTAGTTTCCATCGGTACTCAGCATGAAGCATTTTTAGTGTCAAAAAACAATAGCTAGCTGTAACATAAAATATTTGGATGACGAGACCATGGTTCTGCACATTCATCAACAGTGCCCAGTTGGTAGCTTATTTTGGAAAGCTGACTGCCACACTGATGTAAGTTTTGGGTAAAAGCAGTCAATTTGAGAAATATTTGAGCATTCCTTTAACACATGCAGTTTCTGCACCATCCATCGTCATGAACAATGTACACGGCTAGCCACAGACCTTTCTCAAGGCAGCATTACGCAGTACTAAGCACTGAAAGTCAAGCCCCAATCATTTTCATAGATTGCGGTTTGACTAAACTTTACTTAACTAGCTCGGTCAGGTGTGCAAATCCAAGTCACCCGTGGAAATGCTGTTGTCAGTCATAAAAAGTCACATTAGCGACACACTTCAAATGATTTCTCAGAGAAAGCGATTTTAATAAAAACAACATAACAAAATGCAGACCGCACTAAAGACGCATTATACCATGATTCGTTACATTAATATACTCAGTATATCTTCCTTTTTTAAATATGTACTGTGGAAAGATGCCGTTAACCTGAGCATGTGACTTTGTTTTTACTGGTAAAACTGCTTTGGTAAAACAGAGAACAGAAAATCATGGTTGAGTCAACTTTCGTTCCGTTGTTACGCTGTTTATTTTGTAATTCCAATCTGCAGCAGTCTAGCGATTTCTTGGTTTGGGTTCGCAAAATCCTAACCCAAATTATTATTCCACTATACACTTAGGCGCCCGGTGCGGAGTGTTGAACTGGTTTCTGAGTTCGATTGCTTGAACTGAGTAAGGCCATTTTGCTTGGCACTCACTTCTAGTGTAACGAGTAGTGGTATTTTGTGCCATGCACGTTGGTTCCCCTAGCTATCGGTTTTCACCGGCAACGCTTTGTATAGCTAGATAGAGAGGGAACAATTTGATGTAAAATAGAACCCTCCATTAAACCCGATCTGACTCCTAGAACCGCTATCCGAACTCCCGTTAAAAATCGAATTATTGTCACCCATGAAGCGTGGCTAAAAACATTTCCAACATTTGCAAAAGTAGAATGCACTAGGCAAAATATAATGCATTTTCAAACAGTCCAGAAAGTAAAATATAGATAGATTTTCAAGCTTTCACAAAATGTTTTCGAAAAAAAGCAACTTCGTGAGTAGTAGATAATACCATGCCTTTTTAGTTAAACGGATAATTCGACAAAACGCTGCACGCCGTCAAACGTTTCTGAGTTTTGTTAGCAGACTTTTAGTAAACCGCAACAAACTTACTTTATAATTGCCCTGAGTATGCAGCTTTGGATCAAAGGCGTACTGCTTGTGCACCATTAATATAATCCTTAATATCATGCAGTGACATGCGTTCTTTTGAGATAGACCACAAAATCATTGCCGAAATATGCCAGGCTGGTCTAATAATACTGCAATCCACGTAGTCTTCGGTAGCACTTGCTCGAAAGTGAATGAAGCATGTTACTACTGCGTGTTTAAAGAATTCTCATTTTAAGGAGTTCAGAGGAGACCAATCGAAGCGGTATTTACGACAGCAACTATGTGATGCATGTAAACAAACCTTGAAAGTTAATCGCCCGCATGTAAAAATTTTGCAGTTACTTTACTTATAACCGTAATATTATGAACTGTTTCTTGTTAATTTGCTACGGCTTTGAATTCTATCAACATTTATTATAATTTAATGAATTCTTTGTTTAAGTTCACGTGGGACGGAAAAGGAAACAGAATGCTGCTACCGTACCATCTTAAAAAACTTCGTTGAGCACAAAGCGGAACTTGTGGACGGATCTACAAGAAGAGCCAAGGCAGCACGCACAAATCACATTAGGGTTAAGAATATCATGCCCACATGCCGCGCACCAGCAAACCCCGCTGTGTCGGCCAGGCGGAGAGAAGTAAAAGTCGAAGGCAAATAGAATCGAGGCAAGCTAAAGCAATGAAGGTGAAAAATTGTAATATAAATCCCACGTTTAAAAAGCTGTAAGCTTCAACAGGTGAGAACAACGCTAGTCTGTATGCAAAGTTGGCAAACTGCAGACCACAAGTCTTACTTCGACGTTCGAACTCAGTTAATGGCTTCATTACCCCTGTCAGCAGAGCGTTCAAAGAGTATATTACCTTGCTGGATAACTGAGAATCAGTTCCAACACGGTCCGACCGGGGTTTGTGTAAGTTCCGTGGGACGAAGCCTTGAAATTCATTCGTTGCGGTTCTCGTTGAATTACTTTGTACTACCTACTGCGGATTCTATATTTTTCAGCAATTGGTCTTTTCTGATCAGGTTTCAAGGCCAATGCTGGCCTACTGCGTAAACCAGATAAAAATGGTATGTGTTACTACCTCAAAGCTGTGCCTCAACAAATACGGCCATAAAGTCTGGCACGCAGTACGAACATCTTGGAAAAATGCGCAGGCATGGTGCTGGCTAGCCATCTGGCTTCGGTCGTTTTTCTGTCGACAACACGCAAGTGCCAGTGATACATTTCAGTAATATTTGCTCACAACTTGGTAAAGCAGTGATCGCGATGCTATTATACACCGAACCCAGTATGTTAATACAAACTTCATTCCGTTACAAGAAAGCTGGTTACATACTAATGTGGTTCTTTCCCATCAGGTCTGACCGCCCCGGGAAGCCCCAGCGTTACAACTTGCGTTAATCAACTTTGGTGCAAAGCAGCAATGATATGACTTACGTACTCAACGATTTCTATAAGTCGCAATTTACTATCCTATGTAGATTTCGACCACTCATCGTTGGAAACTTATATAGTGCTCCTTACACAGATTCATCGGAGTCAAAGCTTGTTAAAGACCATCTTTTTTCGACGCTGCTGCTCATAGTATACATTGTATTGCTACTGATGACTTCCTTAGAAAGGCTACAACATTCTTGAAGACACTTGGTTTGGTAGACCTTGTGGCGGTTTCAACCAGACAAGCTACCCGGTTGGAATGTTTGTTCACAAAGAACCGACAGTTGTGTGCCATAAAAAGCGGGCTCTTTTGATCAGTTCAGACAATGGAATTTTAAAACCGAGCCCAGTTTTATGCAGCCATTTTCTCAGCAACGACGCAGTGAGGCGCACTCTCAGCCTCCTTGCACTGGCCCTTTCAGAATCCTGCAATTGACTCCGAGACATTTCACTTTAGACCAGAATGGTCCCCGAGCAACGGTGTCCACCGAATTCCTCAAAGTGGCATTCTTTGACGCACCACTTACAATCCATCTTGATACTATTACTCAAGCACCCGCACCTGCAGTGACTTCCCGAGCACTGTATATGCCAAACACTCTCTTCCCTTTGACCATCCACCTACTGCGTCTCAACCCAGGGCAACCGACCGACGCGGTGGACAGATTAAACCGCCATTCCGATTCAGAGATTTCGTAAACGTTTGTCAGTTCCAGTAACACGCCTTTTTCGTCTTCAGTGATAATCGTGCGTGTCAGCCACGAATGTTTTGCAAAAGCTAAAACCCTAGCCACCCCCGGCCGCGGGCAGCCAAGACAGCATTGGCCCTAAACGCCCGGCCCCGCGTTGCCGACGAGAACGCCCGGATGTCTTCATGTGAAGAGGAGCGTGGACTGGGGTGCGGTGGGCGGAGTAACACATCCCTAGCACACCGTCAGGTCGGCAGCGGATGGAATGCACTGTTCGCCGGCTGCCTGAACTAGCCAGTTATTTTGCAGTCCGCCCAGCCCGCCCCGACGGCCCACCGATGGTGCACTCTGCTCCACACCAGCATCATGAACAGTAAATGAAATACGATGAACCCAGCGAACTCCGCTACACGCCTCAGCTTGTAAGAGCGTGTTCAAGCCCATTCTACTGCGCGCACCCATCCTCACCTCCAGTTTTCACCATTGACAGCTTCATCGAAGGCTTCTAGCCTCATGCCTCCTATTGGAGGCCCTTGTAGGGTGCCCGCAAAAGCAAGAATTATTTCGCAGCATTGGACTTTACCGTGATTGTAACCTTCGAAAGGTCCACTTGATTTGCTGATGGTACATCCGTTGGCACAAAAGGGTTTGCTACGTATCTTGCTGCACCGTTTTCCGAGCTGGTTTATACGCTCCCTATTTTGTAGCCTGCACAGTAACTAAATAAATAAAATGTCTATTCTCGACTAAGCGAGAATGGCTTGCACAGGCGTGATCATGTTAAGGGTACAAAAAGTGATAAGTTAAGGTACAATGGACCAATGTGATTGTCGCATATGTTTATGTTTGCAGGTAGGCGTGTTTAGCTGCGTTTAGATGATTGGTAAATGTTTCTGCCCTTTTACTTGAAGGCGTTTGAAGGTGCCGCCGGTGCTAACTGGATGCTTGCTATATGTGGACTTGAAGCGGTTGTCCGGAAGGGTAAGGAATGTCTTTACTTGGTGGCGGGTCACAACCGCTACGCCACAGTGTTGTTAAACGGACTTTTGTGACTTCTTATGTGGGGAACGCTTGCCAGACGAAAAGCCACCAAGTCCTGGAATACTGCCGCTGAACTATTTGCCGGAAAGGGCAAACCCGAATCACCCAGCTGGCGCCACTAAGAGGTTTGGGTTGGGTCACCCTACCTTCTATACTATCCCGTATATGACACGTCCCTTACCTGTTGTGGATTGCCGACTAGTAACCCAAGCGCCACCCAACCCCAACCCAAAGCATATCTAGAGCCCTTTGTAGGAGCAGTTGCACACTAGGTTCCTCGAAGTTGGGATAGGTGTTTAGGTCTTCTATCAAAAATAACGTATAGCAATTCCAGCTCGTCAAGTAAGTCAATAACGAGCTAAAGGAATAGCATGCCCCGTGAACTGAAACTTGTGCAACACCGTTGTGGGCTCCTCGACTGAAAGGTGTGTTGGAACACACACGAACACACTTCGCCTTATCGTTAAAAAAGCCGAAGTAATGTGTAACACTGGTCCACAGTTACCATAGACTTGCAGCTGGGATAAATGGCTAGAAGCTTAACGGACACAGAGGCTTTGGAAAACTTGATGAGCAATAGCTTCAGTGCTTTTGCTTGAGCAACCGCCTCGGCTCAGTGACCGCAAAACACAGCTATGTTATTTGGCAAGAATACCTGCGTTGTTATGGGCGGGAGTAGCCCCAGTGTCCATAAATGCCTTCTAATGGTGTGCTTCTCTATTTTCTTGGAATCTTGACAGCACGTTGGTCATACTGTTAAACCTATAGGTCGCAAGCTTTGGTTTGACAGCTTTTAAAACCGGTTTACGTAATGGCGTCTTTCCAGTCCCTAGGTAGAGAAAAACTGCGCAGCCACTTCTCAAGCGCTGCCGCAAGTGGACTTAGAGGCGTATCCACCGACTGACACAATATTTTTGATGGAGAGCGTCGATCCCTGCAGCCTTTAAAGGAATTTAACACTCTTGGAAGCTTGAACAAATAAGACCTAGATACGGGAACCTTCCCTAGATGAGCACCTACTATAAACCTTACCTCTATTATAATACGCAGCAAACAGGACAAAAAGTACGCGTGCTTATTGCTTCCCAATTCAAGAAACATTTTCAAGATCAGGGACATCAGTAAGGCCGTTAAGACCAAACGATATCGGCTGGAATAGTAAGCTAGCTGCGTACCTTGCTGTGGGCACAAATGCATTTTAAATAGATACCTAATTGTATATCTTTAGACGCTTGCTAGCGGCCTTTTCCGCGAGGGAGCAGGGTATTTTTCACAACTGTACCATACACTTGCATGAGCAACACAGACGTTAGGAGATGTTAATTTAAGTTTTAATAAGTCTTACAAATGATACCTGAAGTGTAATTGTTTTACATCAGGAAGACTGTACACAAACGTTTGCTAACTTCACGTCGTAAGCGCTCTTGTGTTTGCACCGATAAAATTTACCCGACCTGTTGCAGCAAGCTGATGTTGACATTCCTGTGGGCTCTATCAATCGTTTTCCATGCAGCTGCGTACTATGCTTTGTAATCCAAAACGGTTGCGTAGTTACAGGTTCCTCCTGATAAGGCGGGCCCAAAGCCGTAGAACCAACATCCTGATTTCAGCGGAATATATCTTTGTATTCATAGGTCCCGAATTATGGCAAGCTCATGGAAAATACCACAAATCGATGCCATTAGAAGGGAATATAGAAAGTTAAAAATATGTCCAGTGAAAGAACGTAAAATGATAATGTCTGAAAGTGTAAAGATAGTAGAGCGGCGTAATAAAATAACAAATAAATGGGAAAATAGTGTGGATTGCATATCTTTTTAATAGGTGGCCCTAGAAAGTGTCGATGGAGAAAACCCATAATATTGTCTCAATATCAAAATTCTAGAAC